TCCAAATGTTATCTCACTAGGACCACCAGTGATGCGAATAACGCGTTACTTTTTTCAGTAAAGAGGGATCTAACTTGGGGTGACAGTAGCTCAGTTGGTAGAGCATTGGCCTCAAGGCCAGAAGGTTGTGGGTTCTATTCCCACCTCTACACCTTCTCCACCGACTCCCACTGATGACTGTCGTTGTGTCCTTGGGCAAGACACTTAACCCCACTTTGCCCAAAAGCCCCCACTGAAAGATCAAGGCTATGCTCACACTCAGAGAGCAGCCGTCCTCCTGTGGACTCACCACCTGCAGAGGGTCAGTGAGGGGCTGGTGCTATGAGACTTGGGTGGCATCTCTGATTGCCACCCCCCTGACCCAGAAATGGATTAAAGAGTAGAAAATGGATGGATGGAGTAATCTAACTAATTACTTTGACTGTAACTATAACGCCGTTATCATTTCCGACACCCCGTCACTGCGCATTACTCAAGACGCACAGTGATAGGACTCGTGCGCGTGTTGTCATGAGAGAAGGGAGGATGAGAAAACCTCTCAGCAATTATTGGTTGATGTAAAACATATTTCCTTTACAATCTACATGTCTACAGTTGAGAGGATGGCTCATAAATTGTGTTTTTGAAACAAATATGGGTCTTAATCGCGCTCAACCACGGCTTGTATCACCGTGAGGCCAGCCTCAGGGGAGCGCAGAAGTCGGCTGCATACAATTCCATCGATAAGCTTTCTCTTCCTGGTTTATCTGCTAAGGGCAGCCACAGGTTTGGCTAACATATATATATAACACATTTTAAGCTAATTTAAAATGCACTTAGGGTAATTTTTCAATGACTAAGGGAATGATAAGAAAGAGAGGTGAAGTGTAAGACGGTTGATTTTAGAAATTGGATGCACCCGGCTGCAGCAAAACAGAGGACTTTATGGACGAGACACGCGTTTTGTTTTACTTTTTAAAACTCATTGGACTCATTTCCAAATGGAGGATTACATATCTACGCTCAAACTATTGTCTGGACTTAAACACGGAACTGGTCTGAACTGAAGTGGACTGTGCAGGTCATTTATAAGGTAAGACCCATAACTCATTTTGCGTCATTTTGCACACTCGTTTTGCGTTTTGTATGAACAAACAATCCGGGCATGAAACATATTCTGCTGTAGCCAAACAAATTGTGAATAAGCCGCTCTCTAGGTCCAGTTGATTTATATGATATATATGTTCATCTGATTGGGCTGAAGTCAGTGCTTCACCGGTGTTTCCACATTCACAGTGGAGCGTGTTGTGTTTAGTGCTTACAGCACAGAGAGAGATGAAGAGTGAACAGAACTTCAGCAGCAAAACAGACTTTTCTAGATGGAAATATTGGCACTATTTAAACTCACTGAGGTTAAAGGTAAAAATGCGCACCTCAAGTGCACATGTTCCAGAACAAAACGAAAAAGTAACGCAATACTTACTTTTACTGGTAACTAGTTACTTTTATCGTGGAGTAACTCCGTCAGTAACTCAGTTACTTTTTGGGAGAAGTAACAAGTAACTATAACTAATTACTTTTTCAAAGTAACGTGCCCAACACTGAGGACCACAGACAAAAATGTCTTACCAAAGTTGACTTTATTTGTGATCCAGAGATGACAACTTCATGGTTAGCCATGTTAGCCCATTCAAAGGTTAATAAATTCAAATAAAAAATTCCCAGTGCACTCATGTATTCAACCTGCAAATTCAGCCCGCCGAGATGGAAAACAAGCCAATCAGGGGCGCTCAGCGCTGCCAAAGTTCTGCTAGCTCCTCATGTCAAGAATAAGGTGCACGAACTGCTGAAGAGCAGCTGTGTGGGTCGTACAAATGTGGTCCCTCCAGAGGCCCTCACATCCCCATAGAACCTGTGAGAAATCTGTCTTCAAAGAAATCCGAATGGTTTCAGCTTTGTCTTTTTCTCACACGATTTCTCTACTTGTTCAGCGGAAAACTATCCAGTTATATCATATAAACTCTACTGTTGTATCATATAAACTCTAATGTTGTTTCATATAAACTCTACTGTTGTTTCATATAAACTCTACTGTTGTATCCTATAAACTCTACTGTTGTTTCATATAAACTCTACTGTTGTTTCATATAAACTCTACTGTTGTATCCTAAAAACTCTACTGTTGTTTCATATAAACTCTACTGTTGTATCCTATAAACTCTACTGTTGTTTCATATAAACTCTACTGTTGTATCCTATAAACTCTACTGTTGTTTCATATAAACTCTACTGTTGTTTCATATAAACTCTACTGTTGTATCCTAAAAACTCTACTGTTGTTTCATATAAACTCTACTGTTGTATCCTAAAAACTCTACTGTTGTTTCATATAAACTCTACTGTTGTATCCTAAAAACTCTACTGTTGTTTCATATAAACTCTACTGTTGTTTCATATAAACTCTACTGTTGTTTCATATAAACTCTACTGTTGTTTCATATAAACTCTACTGTTGTATCATATAAACTCTACTGTTGTTTCATATAAACTCTACTGTTGTATCCTAAAAACTCTACTGTTGTTTCATATAAACTCTACTGTTGTATCCTATAAACTCTACTGTTGTTTCATATAAACTCTACTGTTGTTTCACATGAACTACTGTTGTTTCATATGAACTCTACTGTTGTATCATATAAACTCTACTGTTGTTTCATATAAACTCTACTGTTGTTTCATATAAACTCTACTGTTGTATCATATAAACTCTACTGTTGTATCCTATAAACTCTACTGTTGTATCCTATAAACTCTACTGTTGTTTCATATAAACTCTACTGTTGTTTCATATGAACTCTACTGTTGTTTCATATAAACTCTACTGTTGTATCCTATAAACTCTACTGTTGTTTCATATAAACTACTGTTGTTTCATATAAACTCTACTGTTGTTTCATATGAACTCTACTGTTGTTTCATATAAACTCTACTGTTGTTTCATATGAACTCTACTGTTGTACCATATGAACTCTACTGTTGTATCATATGAACTCTACTGTTGTATCATATAAACTCTACTGTTGTATCATATAAACTCTAGTGTTGTTTCATATGAACTCTACTGTTGTATCATATGAACTCTACTGTTGTATCATATGAACTCTACTGTTGTATCATATGAACTCTACTGTTGTATCATATGAACTCTACTGTTGTATCATATGAACTCTACTGTTGTATCATATAAACTCTACTGTTGTATCATATAAACTCTACTGTTGTTTCATATGAACTCTACTGTTGTATCATGTGAACTCTACTGTTGTTTCATATAAACTACTGTTGTTTCATATGAACTCTACTGTTCTATCATATGAACTATCCTGTTGTTTCATATAAACTCATATAAACTGTTGTCTCCTGCTCTTGCTCAGATCTCCAATCACAGACGACCACCGCCTGTGTCTGTTTACACACATTCACAAACTTCTGCAAGACACATCTGCATCGTCTGATGACGATGGAACGCTTCAAACCAAGAAGACTCACGCTTCTGCTGCATCATACCGCTGTGATGGTGAGTGCAGACCTGGCCCAGGGACACACTCTCTGATACATGTTTTGGAGGTGATGAAGACTTCAAACTTGATCTAAATCGGGTTTGAAGCATGTAAAGTAACATTCAAAGGAATATGAATACCAATCTGTACATGCTGGTCATCTACGTTATCTGCCCTGATTGGCCAAAGCTCAGAGAATATTTGCCACAATTTCTCAGCAGCTCTTTTCAAACATATAACAGCACATTCACACACACAGTCCACTTTCCGCATTTGCTCAGAGCCATTCCATCAGCTTTTGTTGTTCTTGTTCGAACTGCACCTCGACATGTAGCCCGAGAGTGGTCCGACAAACCATAACCGGATCGAGAGAACACATGTTCAGCACGTCCTTCGAAGACTGTCCTTCTCCTTCATTTCCCTCGTCTATCCGTCTTACAAATGAGCAAGCTATGGGTGGCCCCAGACTGCACCGCGGACAAGAAAAACTAAACCAGTGACAGTGTTTGTTTTTTTTCCCTCACCAACAGCACCCCACACCTACAGCCTCACCAAAACTACCGCCATCAAACAAGCACCCTGCACGCTGCCACACACACACTTTCAGACCACATTCTTACCTCCCTACCCCCCACACACTGCCCGAGCACACCTGACCCACTCCGTTTCCTGTGAGCATGAGTCAGTCGGGTGCAGGGCATTTACCGGAGTAGGACATGCTTATTAGCCATTCTGATAATATACTTTATGTTGATGCGGCTGTCAAGGAAACCTGACCAGGAAAGTATTGTGGGCTTCTACTGAGGTGTCCAGGCATGTGCTGTTGGGTCTTTTGGAATAACTAGAAGTAGCAGTATGTAAGATTTTCATGTCAAGTCATCATTAAAGGGCCCTAATCTATACAAAGGCTTTAATAAAACTGCTCTTTTCCAATACTGATAACAGTAGTTCAGAGATATTTGGATTTCAATATTACTTTTACAGCCCCTAAATCTTGTATTGTTTTCATTTTTATGTCCCACCCTCCACTGTTTTACCAATCAGAAAGTCCATGATCCAAGTTGCCAGAACTCACTGCGTGGAGCTAATCTCACTGGTAAAATACCATGTGGCGCAGAACTAAAAAAGGTCTCGTTATGATTCTCAAATCATTAGCGCCAAAACAAGGAATGAAACTAGGATTTCTATCTTTGTGAAAAAGGTGTTGGTTATAGATTTGTTGTTGACAAAACTCTTGTCTATTCAGCTGTTTTGGTCCCAGCTGGAATTGTCTGCATATCTGGCAACAGGAGTCAGGGAGACTGGGAGAGGCTGCAGTACCACTTTTGGCCAGATTTTTACATACTGCTCCTTTAACTTTGTGTGTGTGTGTGTGTGCATGTGTGTGCATGTGTGTGTGTGTGTGTGTGTGAGCGCCACCTATATTGTTGTATATGATAAATAAATTGTTGCCTTATTCACCTGTTTTTTCTTGTAGAATCCTTTTCTGTCACAGTTGGGAATGCGGAAGCCTCCCGGGATGAGGATGTTGCTGATTTTGAGGCTGTTCAGGATGCTCTCCATCTCTCGTCGGCAAGGCCCCTTTGGAAACACAACACACACCACAAAGCATCAGAAGCTGAGAGTGAGTGTAAAGAGAAAACCTTGGACTTAAGGACTAGAAGTAAAGATCCACCTCATTTTAGGACTAGAAAAATAATTGATTGGTTTGATTACAATTTCATTCTGTTATTTTTACGCAACTGTTGTGCAGTTTTACACAGAGTTGTTTCCATGCAGTGACGCACAATTCTGCACTGCATACACACTCTGTAATTAACATTCACATAATCATGAGGGTGCAGCGTGTGCAGTGATGCGGTCGCCGGTCGCTGTATCGGACCGTTGTGGCGAAGAGCTGAGCCGAAATGGGAAGCTCTGGATTTACCAGTCGATCTTCGCTCCCTCGCTCACCTCTGCTCCGTGTTGGGAGTAACTGAAAACATGTTCGACATACTCTTTCTGAGGAACTGTATTCCATTACAGTTACTACTTTAAAGTCTACTGTTTAGAATACAATGACTCAGGAATTCATACTTTCTCACATTATGTTTTAAGGTATTTTTGAAGTGAAGCTTTGACTGATCTTTTGAATAACTACAGAACATGTTTAATTCATTTAAACATTTATTGAGGTGGTTTTCAATATATTGGAGTGAACCTTTATACGTTATGTAAATAAACGTTAATTCATAATAAATATAGATAAAATCAAAGTATAGTAATGTATTCGGAATACAGGTACTACTTTTTCCAAAGTAAATAAATACTCTACATTTTAGATCATATACATGTATGCATTTTCAAAGTATTCTACCCAACTCTGGCTTTGGTCATGAGCTTTGGGTGATGACCGAGATCTGGCAACGGATGAAGCAGAAGAAAATGGATAATAGACTTTAACACACAAACCTTCTAATAACTAGAAATCTATCATAAATTCAGAGATTACACGAATAAGTGAATTTATAATTAGATAGATTAATTAAATATTGAATGGAATATAAATTCAAATTTGAAATCTTTTTAATGGGAAACGACTGCAAGTCCTCAGGAGCTCTGAAACAGTTGTTGTTTTGAGGTTTTGATTTTAAATTTGTCTTGCTTTTTTCTACCTGAGATGCAGTACACTGTTCATGGTTTTACACTGGTCCAGGCTGGAGCGGAGAGGATTCATGGTCCGAACCAAGCGGATCTGGTGAAAATCCACTGGAGGAATGCTAACTTTTTGAACAATGTAAATGAAGCCTTTAGCCTTTTATTTTGGACCAGAGCAGAGAAAATGGTACGAACCAAGCAGCTCCACCTCTGCTGCTGTGACCTGAAGGACTGCTGCTGATTATTACTATTCTTAGCTTTTTAGAATTATCAATTTTATGTTTTATTTTTGCTGCTACTGGACACCTGAATTTCTCCTGCGGGAGATAGAAATCTATCTATCTCTATCTATCTTGTCTTGGTGAATAATGACCACAAGCTAGAAACTTGTTCAAATATGTTTCCAAAACTTTTGAAACCACACAGTTATGAACCTCATCCACAGAATGTAGAAATGAAGGGGGCTGTGGATAGTACAGAACACAAAGCTGATTAGCCTCTAAATATTTGGATTCTTGAAAAACCCTTAATACATGGGACTGTTGAGCTCCATATGTGGAAGACGTGTAATTTAGGACGTTAAGAACAAAATAAATACTCCTTTAGACTTTTAACTCTGCATTTGAGTCTGATGCACATAATAGTTTGGCTCCAAGAACAACCCAACTCTGCAACTGTCCACTTTTTAAATGTTGTTTCTTTATATTCTAAAGTCTGCATGAGGAAAACTAACCCACTCTGAGATTTCAGAACCCTACCCCTAACATAAGCTCCATGTTTTAAATCATTGGTACATTTAGAGCTAAAGCATGAATTTCATAGATTTTATTCCTGATGCTGACAGGGGACATGACATTATTTGTGTCGGTCAGTAACATGTGTTTTTAGTGCATCACTGTAAAATAAAATAAAAACGTAAATAAGTAAGTAAATAATACAGAAGCATGAGTCATCAGTGAAAAAGTGCATGAATGTTGAACAATAAACTGTCTCTAAAATAACTTGATAATCTTAAAGTAGTAAACAAAAGTATATTTAGATCACGTCCATGTGCAGTGTGTGCACGTGAGCCAGAGATGTCAATATTTACTTCTTTGGTGACATATGTAAATAAATGCACACAACATTTGTTTGTTAGACCTCCCACCTCTGCTTGGACACTTGTAGCAAAGTTTGTTTTCTTGACATTTTCTAAATGAAAGGATAATGGTCAGAATGTAAAGTCTGTTTGTTTAAACAACTTTGAACTGCCATTGTGGATTAAACATTAAAATATACGTTGTATTATCTTTTGACAAAATAACATTTACATTTGTCATGGGGGTGGGGGGCCGGGGCTTTCACTGATGCTTTTGGGAAGCTCAGATTGTCAGTGGTTCCTCTGCTGCTCAGAGCGAGGGTCAGGGTCAGACTCTGAGGGACATGGACCGGCTCTGCATGGATCTGTCTAACTGTGTGCAGGAAAGGAAACAGTGTATAATGGCTACATATTTCATTATACAACATGCCTCCTCAATGCATACTTTTGGTCTCAGAGCAGGCCTGAATCAGTCCTGGTTGGGACCTGGTGTTAAACCAGTCTTGTTTCGGGCCCCAAACCGTGGTCGGAGCATTGGAGGAAGCAGAGCCAAAAGACTGATCTTCCTCTGGGGTTTTACTCCCGCCATGCCCCTGGTGCACAATTGGTTTCTCAATAAATTACTTTCTCCAGCTAAACTCTCCAGAAAAACTGTCATTATTATCTTTGGTCCCCAGAAACAAAGAGAGCGTCAAATCCAGCCTCTTTTCCGTAAGCTCAGAAAACAGACAGCTCTGCGTTTGTACAGGTCTCTCCATGTCCTCGCAACGATCTACAACTGGACCAGGGACTTGTCTCCAGCGTCAAACATGGAGAGTCAGTATGTCATTATCCGCAGCTAAAATGCTGTCTTAAATAATCTTCCTGATAATATAAGACAAGATTCTTCTGAAAATGTTCAAATCCAGTGAACACTGCCTGATTCCGTCACATCTCAGAGGTCAACCCTGGGAAGAACTGAGATGGGAGACCTTAGGGAACAGGCGCCACAGTAGTACGTTTGTGGGAACTATTGCTGCGTCCTTAGACACTTCATCCACATTGTATGAGTCTGGTGTGTAGGGGAGGGCTGCAGGTGGTTGAGGAGGACAATGGAGAAGATTAATAGCCTTGCTTTTGTCAGTCTGCCCCAGGGCAGATTTTCCTTTTTTCTTTGTTTCGTCGTGCACACAACTGGAAGGTTTTACCTGCACCATTCTTTTATAAATGTATTGTGTTTCTTTTTGTGTTTTCAATGTGGTTTATGATATTGATGTGTTCTCACTGCGAGTTGCCTTCAGTGCCTTGTTACGATGAAAAACATTTTTTTACTAGAGTGTGTTTGAATTCAATCAAAATATGAATAATTATTCATAGCACAAGATCGAGAATCATACACTGAATCAAACCTGGGGCAGAGCAGACCTGATATAGACCTGGCTCAGACATGGTTCAAGCCTGGCTTAGACCTGGTTCAGGACTGGTTCAGACCTGGTTCAGACTTGGTTTCATACACAGTTGAGACCTGGTTCAAACCTGGTTCAGACCCAGTTGAGACCTAGCCCTAATAACCAGTATAACTGTGAAAAAGTGTGATTAGTCCCTTAATCTCATATTCACAATTGTCTTTATCTCACACTAAAAATCAAACAGTACAAAGTACAAATATAATGCTACAAATGTTTTTCAAGCTGAAGGTGGTCAGCCTTGTGTTTTATTGCAATTCAGTCATCAGCGCTGCCTGATCTAATGCTCGTTTCCTTTCATGTTTTCATTTTCGAATTCCTGAATCTCAGGCTAATATTGTAAAGTTTTTCTCTTTCACATTTCATTTAAATCAGACATGCACTAAATAGTGTTTGGTAAAAGCAGAAATGTTGTGACTTACATACTCAGTCTCCCTCTTGTTCTCCAGAGAGAAGTTGTGCATGTCCATGTTGGCTCCTCCGGACACAGACTCCACCTTGTAGCTTTGAGTTTTCTTGTTGAGATCTTTCTGAAACAGCTTGTGAACTGAGGGCCTGGTGTCCGCTGGCGCCCGACTGTGACCACCCTTCACTAAACTGGGCAGCACGCTGATGGAGGCCGTGGCGTTGGCTGAACCGTCTTCAACTTGATTTCCAATACTCTCTGTAAGTACATTAACAGTTGGTTATTAGTGATATTCCATTATGTAAGAGCTGCACATAAATGCTCAGGGCTGATCAGGGCTGAGCATTTTGCTGAAAGCACAAAACTGATCCACGACAAACATACACATTTCTATAGCTCTGTGGAACGCCAACAGCCTGTTGAGAAGCGAAAATACTGCTGAGGTATTTAAATAACAAGCGTAAAATCATGCCCTAAATAGCTTATTGTGCTGTTTATTTGACCTTTTGATAGCATTTGCAATATACATAAGAGGCTGCATCCAACAAACACACATGGAGGTAAAAGAGTGGGAATGCATGTGGTACATTCTGGCCACACCACCACAAACATGAAGAGGGCTTGGATAGACGACAGCATGCCGGGAACACACTGTCATGGCACACACACCCAAACATAGATTTAAACTGTTAACTCAAAGCAGATTTTGTGTCTTAGGGTTGTGGTGGCGGCAGCAAGCGGCATGTAGGGGTGTAGCACATGTGGGCAGGCGGGCTGGCAGACCACCTGATCAATTAGAGGCATGCTGGGTCTCCACAGTCCTACACTCACCCAAACAGACACTGTTGACAAGAAGTTTATAGTCCAACTTGACTTTTATACAACATTTTAAGGATGTCTAGGGCTTTAAGACTAACACATTACGCAATTTGTTTGCCTAATGTGCAAAGGTAAAAAGCACAAACTGTGGTCAGGGGAGCTTGTTAATGTCTGGGAGGAGAGTCTGTGCTGGAGCAAGAGACTGATGATGAAAACCACTCTGCCATCACAGTTTGTGACCAGAAGGGGTGCTCTAGATTATTCTCAGAAGTAAAATTATCCTTTTCTAAAACTCCCCCGGCTTTGAGACTGTTGGTCTCTGTTGAATCTGTGCGTGTAGATTTAATCCCCTAATACAATAATCGAGTTAGATTTTTCTCCATCTCAGCAGAGGAGGCCCATAGCAGAACAATGTGAGCCTGGACTGAGTGCGAGGCCAAACCAAATAAGCAGGTAAACGCAGAAAACACAGAGGCTCCTGGAGGTCTGACGTCAGCCGTGCCTAAACACACAGGGATGTGTACTCACACACATGTGCTATGTGTGCCGTGTCCTCTGTGAGCAGAGAGCATCCATTCACTCAAAACATGTACAGCGCCTCAGTCCGCACGACTACGACCGACAACACTTTAGACTTTTAACCTCAAAGCTCAGGCTGCATTACAATAAAGATAGGAGAAGAGAACCATCATCGTCCCACAGCGGGTTATTGAGCACATTACAGAACAGTAGCGAAGAAGAAAACAAACAAAGTAAATGAAAAAAGTTCAAGAGCGGTGCTATTTATAGAATACCACAAATATATCCACTTGAATGTAATAGTGCGTGCAATAGGCATATTGTTATGTGACTTGAAGAGGACACAGTGCATCCTGCGCCACTGTGTGTTTTATGCAGAAAGGGGGGAGGATTATAATAGAAACACATTGGACTCGTTAAGCGTTTGGTCAATACTTCTACATAAACTTTAGATCGTAAAATCCTGATCCGAGATTGAGTAAAACTTAAAGTGCACCTCATGCAGGTGGTAGACACCTCACCCCAGGATATGACATGTGGGTGATGCTTGTCCTAGAACCCATTCAAGTGACTGTGGCTGTTGGATCAGTTTGTCTAGTGATGTGTTGAAGCGCGGTCCATGCACCCACATACAGGACTGTGCGCTTACCTTGTTTAGGAGCTGGCACCAAAAAACTGTTGAGTTTTTTGGAAGCAGTGGAAGAGCACAGCCCTCGTCCCTCCAGTAAAGCCTGCAGTGGTTTGCTTTCTCCCGGCTGATGCTGGCAGCTCAAGCCGGAGCCGCAGCGCGATGTATAGACTCCACACGCCTGTCCCTGGCCCAGGGCGCACGTCATGCAGCAGCCGCAGCCGGGCTCCTTCACCAGCTCCACGCACTCTTTGGGCAAAGTCTTGCACTGCAGGAGCGCTGCAGCGTCACACGGTTCGCACCGAATCACCGGCCCCACGGAACCGGCCAGCCGTGTGAAGACGGCAAGCGCCGCAGCAAGACAGAGCAAACATAGAGCAGGCATTCTGTGCATAAAACTGGTGACAAAGGGGCAGTATGAGAGCTGTCAGGCGGGCTTAAGGGCACTCTCTGACACAGCGAGCCGCTGAGCCTTCTCCATCTGTATTTTCTTTTACACGAACTTCTCGTTTTATACAGGCAGAAAAAAGAGCCAACAAGTCACACCCTCCCCCGTATGAATAATGTAAACGGAGAGCCCCGTTATGAGGGACCGCGACATCCAGTCTGAGAGCAGCGCACACCGATCTGGGACATTTAACAAGGTTTTACTCAAGTATATGTTATGTCTCTGATTCTAGGTGAGTATTGTAGAGGCATACAATTGCAAACAACTTTGCGTAAAACTAAAATGATAAAAAAAAAAAATATCTTTCCTCTTTCTATATTCAAGAAAAAACGCAGACAATGAGCAAACTGTGTAGTTCTTTCACCGTTGACTAAAGCTGTGGAAGTTCACACAGCACTGGCCACATGCACACTGGCATCACTGGTATGTGAATGAATTCCTATTGGCAGTCCCCCACATGCTCTAAATAGGCCTTTGGGCAGGTGTGAGGGTGGCCTCCCCTAAAACAATAATTTCTTAGCATTTAATCTCAGCACGTGTGGCCTCAGTCTGGGCCAGAGTTTCATTTTGGACCAGCGTCTGTGTCCATATGCTGAGTTTTGCAGAGCCGAAACACTTTTACAGTGATGGAGATATCAAATATGAAAATTTTTATGCACACTCAGCAACTTCCCTATTTTCTGAATACAAACATGAGGCGCATACACAGATAAAATAAAGCAATCAGAATTGGTCATTGTGAGATTTTCACCATAGAAGCAGAAACGATGTTGAGACTGAATCATGAACTAAATAAGCAGTGACTCGGGAACTCCTCCAGAAGAGTCAGTTCAGATTGAGTTTTCTTATTACTTGTGTTTAACCAATTTCTTCTGGATAATATTGATAGTTGAACTTTTGCTTCTTTGCTGATGTGAAGTTTTCCAAAGACGCGGAATGTTGCTGCAAAATTGTTTTCATTTTGTTTTTTCTCTCACTGTTCTGAAATCTATGTTTTCCGGTTTGGTTTTGTGTTATTTTGTTCTTTGGTTTTATTTTGACATCAGTCTCCTGTTTGTTTGGCTTTAGTTTTACTTCCTGTCCTGTTCCTCTCTCTTGATTGTCTTCCCGCCCTGATGTGTTGTACCTGTGTGTCTCTCTGTGTCTATATGTACCTGTGCCTCTCTGTGTCTATATGTACCTGTGCCTCTCTGTGTCTATATGTACCTGTGTCTCTCTGTGTCTATATGTACCTGTGTCTCTCTGTGTCTATATGTACCTGTGTCTCTGTGTCTATATGTACCTGTGTCTCTCTGTGTCTATATGTACCTGTGCCTCTCTGTGTCCATGTGCCTGTGTCTCTGTGTCTATATGTACCTGTGTCTCTCTGTGTCTCTTTGTGTCTATGTACCTGTGTCTCTCTATGTCTATATGTACCTGTGTCTCTCTGAGTCTATATGTACCTGTGTGTCTCTGTATCTATATGTACCTGTGTCTCTCTGAGTCTATATGTACCTGTGTCTCTCTGTGTCTCTCTGAGTCTATATGTACCTGTGTCTCTCTGTGTCTATATGTACCTATGTCTCTCTGAGTCTATATGTACCTGTGTGTCTCTGTATCTATATGTACCTGTGTCTCTCTGAGTCTATATGTACCTGTGCCTCTCTGTGTCTATATGTACCTGTGTCTCTCTGAGTCTATATGTACCTGTGTGTCTCTGTATCTATATGTACCTGTGTCTCTCTGAGTCTATATGTACCTGTGTCTCTCTGTGTCTCTCTGTGTCTCTCTGAGTCTATATGTACCTGTGTCTCTCTGTGTCTATATGTACCTATGTCTCTCTGAGTCTATATGTACCTGTGTGTCTCTGTATCTATATGTACCTGTGTCTCTCTGAGTCTATATGTACCTGTGTCTCTCTGTGTCTCTCTGTGTCTATATGTACCCTGTGTGTCTCTCTGTGTCTATATGTACCTGTGTCTCTCTGACATATGTCTGTGTCTCTCTGAGTCTATATGTACCTGTGTCTCTCTGTGTCTTATGTACCTATGTCTCTCTGAGTCTATATGTACCTGTGTGTCTCTGTATCTATATGTACCTGTGTCTCTCTGAGTCTATATGTACCTGTGTCTCTCTGTGTCTATATGTACCTGTGTCTCTCTGTGTCTCTCTGTGTCTATATGTACCTATGTCTCTCTGAGTCTATATGTACCTGTGTCTCTCTGTGTCTCTATGTACCTGTGTCTCTCTGTGTCTATATGTACCTGTGTCTCTTTGTGTCTATGTACCTGTGTCTCTCTCTGTCTATATGTACCTGTGTCTCTCTGAGTCTATATGTACCTGTGTCTCTCTGTGTCTCTCTGTGTCTATATGTACCTATGTCTCTCTGAGTCTATATGTACCTGTGTCTCTCTGTGTCTATATGTACCTGTGTCTCTCTGTGTCTATATGTACCTGTGTGTCTCTCTGTGTCTATATGTACCTGTGTCTCTCTGTGTCTATATGTACCTGTGTCTCTCTGTGTCTATATGTACCTGTGCCTCTCTGTGTCTCTCTGTGTCTATATGTACCTGTGTCTCTCTGTGTCTCTCTGTGTCTATATGTACCTATGTCTCTCTGAGTCTATATGTACCTGTGTCTCTCTGTGTCTATATGTACCTGTGTCTCTCTGTGTCTATATGTACCTGTGTCTCTCTGTGTCTATATGTACCTGTGTGTCTCTCTGTGTCTATATGTACCTGTGTCTCTCTGTGTCTATATGTACCTGTGTCTCTCTGTGTCTATATGTACCTGTGTCTCTCTGTGTCTATATGTACCTGTGTCTCTCTGTGTCTATATGTACCTGTGTCTCTCTGTGTCTATATGTACCTGTGTCTCTCTGTGTCTATATGTACCTGTGCCTCTCTGTGTCCATGTGCCTGTGTCTCTGTGTCTATATGTACCTGTGTCTCTTTGTGTCTATGTACCTGTGTCTCTCTATGTCTATATGTACCTGTGTCTCTCTGAGTCTATATGTACCTGTGTGTCTCTGTATCTATATGTACCTGTGTCTCTCTGAGTCTATATGTACCTGTGTCTCTCTGTGTCTCTCTGAGTCTATATGTACCTGTGTCTCTCTGTGTCTATATGTACCTATGTCTCTCTGAGTCTATATGTACCTGTGTCTCTCTGTGTCTATATGTACCTATGTCTCTCTGAGTCTATATGTACCTATGTCTCTCTGAGTCTATATGTACCTGTGTCTCTCTGAGTCTATATGTACCTGTGTCTCTCTGTGTCCATATCAGTGGTTCTTAAAGGGCCCATATCACGGTTTTTGACTTTTCTCTGCTTTAAACATGATTACAATGCTATTTGGCCTTCATACACAAGCCCACAGTAGTTTATTCATTGATTCTGTCAATCTTTTGTAAGAGAGCAATCTGTCTCCTTCCCCAGCGTGAGGCACAGAAACGCTCGGGTCCACTTCAGTGACAAAAACCACACTGATGACGCGCATGACGCGCATGACCCCATTTGCTTTGTATTTAAAATAGTTGTTAAATACTTTTGTCAAAACGGGGTAAACAATACACAATTAGTATGCTGTTTTTTGTCAAAAATAATAAAAATAAAAATAAATTAAAAGCCGGCGGGAGGTGATTGACGGATCAAAACAGCGAATCAGTGCGCACAGGCTCCGGCTCCCGAGTCCAGCGTCTGTGGTCTGGTCTCGCGGACACCACATAGAACTGCTGTTTTTATGCTTTTGTCAACAACTAAAAGTGTTAGGATCACGTCAACTTGAATGAAGTGTGTTATGGGTGTAAATATGTGACACACTATTTGGCCCGAAGAGGAAGAAAGCGGCTCGACTTTTTTCATCTGTTCATCTCATGGATCTATTATAAACCGGTTCATCTGCGACACTTCACTGAGACTGTTCCAGAACTACAGGGACAATGGAACTGGACTTACTCAAAGGCTGATCTGGAAACACGTTATTCCCACGGTAAAAGACGTAACTCGGACCCCCTCGATCTGTAAGTAGTGACGCTAACTCGCTGTATACTTCTGTAAACTAAATAACTAGGGTCTGATTGTGCATCGAGGACATAGGGCTCGATGTGACGGATTGTCATCGTTGGAAAAAGTTTATTCTTATGTATGAAATTACTAAGTACAGGTGATAAACGACAAAAGCGTGATGCTACGTCACCGTACGGGCGGGGGGAGGCGGGCTCACAGGCAGAGGAGCAGACTCTTCTCTGGATCAGCTCGTTTGAGTCGAGGTGACGTCACCTCTATACAAGAGATGGCTCTAATCTCACAAGCTTTGATTGTTGTGTGGTGTATCATACACATTAATATCACACATGTGTATAGGATTGAGTGTGAAACATGAAGAAAAGCGTGATATAGGACCTTTAACCTTGTTGGAGGCACCGAACCCCACCAGTTTCATTTGAACATTCACTGAACCCCTCGAGTGAAAAATGAAATATAATCTTTTTTTTTAAATAGAGTTTTTTCAAGATATGTGTTTTTTCCGAAAATGGGCCGTGCATGAGCACCACGTGTTCATAGAACAAAACCAACTCAAGGCATGAACTCACAGTGTGACTTCTGCTGTTGCCTTTGAGAGACCAAGGCAGATGTGGCTTCACCAAGTGTCACTCTCATGCAATGGTGTAGGTTTGGTTCCAATCTTGGTGGGGACATTCACTACGACCTGAGACGTCTCCGGTATTTTCTTTTTTTTTATTCCACTCTCAACCCAAAAAGGCAAGTAATGACTCACAGGGCTCTCAAGTATGCAAAATAAAAACTTAAATGACCTGTTGTGGTGTGTTTTGCGCACAACCAGCATGCATCGTTAACGCAATGGAAAATTTACGTATCCGAGCTTTAATTTCGGGAGCGCTGGTTGCGCTTTGGGAAGAGTCAGGGGAGAGACATGTCAGAGACACAGGGGAGAA